ACAGATACTACACTTGATCTTAGCCAAAAGGCCGAGAAAGGTATTGTATTGGGCCATGCTAATCTTCATTCTCTGTATCGTTCCAATTTTAACGGATGTCCCGAAGGACCTCCACTTTTTTGGGACTCAGTTGCGCCTTTTAATTCCCTCTCTACTCAATTTGATCGTCAGTGACCAACTCAACAACGCCTCTCTGTAGACGACAAACATACAAAACTTTCAAAGGAAAAATCTTCTGTGGTGCTGGCAGTCTTTTCTTCTGTGGATTTCGCCGCATCTACGACTTCCCTCCATCCTCTTCGACCGTGTTTTTTTTCCCCCGCTTGTTTGTCTCCTTGCGCCCTTTTTCCTTTTTTTCTCTGTGTCTGCAACTTTCACTTGTCTGCAGATTCCGCGCTGATATTCCTCGTGTTTGTCCTCCATGCTTCAGAGCCACTTTTTTCTTATGTTTTTTTAAATGCGCAGGGGCCGCGCTAATCTTCTGTGTATCGTTCCAATTTTCACGGATGTCCCGACCGAAAGACTGGATCGTTCCAATTCTCATGGATGGCCCGAAAGACTAACGGATGTCCCGAAAGGATATCCTCACTCATTATTGATTTACTTTTTTTAACTCCTCCTTCCTCTTCTTTTATCTACTGCCTCGGCCGCCTGCTCCTGACGTATGAACCTGGCCGTATTCGTAACTTTTTTTCTTTTTTTTTCCACCCACTACCTCATGTGAGTCTACTATTTTTGACCTTCATTGACAACAAAACGACGACAGCCGTAGGATATTATCGGCCCACTGAGTTTCTAGTTTTTTTTTAATTCAGTTTAATGTTTCTAAAGTCTTAATTCACTTCCATGTTGCGGGACCAACAGACCTCCGTGTGCAGATGTTTCTCGTTTTAATCCAGATCGTACACCCACTGAGCTAACAGATCTCAACTTTGACTGCTACTCTCCCATTCTCGTCCGCTTCCGCTTACTTCCCACAATCGTTCTTTTTTTTTTTTTTTTTAAATAAAAGTGCTCCTATTGGTGGGGAGCGTCACCTGCTGGAAAACGGGTCCAGCGCCCCATAAATACATCTTCTCTTTTCTACTACTAAATACTAGAATTTACGACACGTGCGCCACAGACGCCTTCGCGGCAGCGAAAAAAACGCTACAGATGCCTTCGCTGCGACGAAAAAAACACAACAGTTGCATTGGCTGCGGCGACCGAGCATGCCCATGCATTTTGCCTGATGAAAGACAACACCCGTGCCGCAACAGAAGGGCATCCACCACAGTCGGGTGTTCAAGATAATCTTTCAACAAAAAAGAAGAAGAAGGAGGAGGAGGAGGAGGAGGAGGAGGTAGTGTAAGAGCGAACAAAGAAGCGATGGCTGCTCACAGCAAAACGTTGGAAATGTCCCCATGGTACCGGCAAAAGAGAAGCAGCTGAGAAGAAGCAGAGAAGAAGGCGAAGAAAGTTCACGTAGAAGAGTGACATAAGATCGAGTGATGGTGAGGGGGATACATGCGCAAACCAAACGCAATCGAGATGTCTGTGAGGGACACAAAAAACAGTCAACGGCACCTTGTGATAACCGTGCGCACAGCTGCGAACAACGTGGCAACCACGTGGCGAACACGTGGGAAACCACGCAAGCAGGCACGACAACGGGGACAAACCACGTGGCGAACACGTGGCAAATCCACGCGACAACCAAGGCCGGACCGGTGCAATCGCAGGACAGGACGACCAGAGAGAGGCCTTTTTCAGGCCCCCCCTTTTGCAAGAGGAGGGGCAGGTCGGACCACAAAACGTGTAAGGGCAAGGGTGTAATAGACCGACCCACAGACTGTACAGGTAAGGGCACAACAGACTCCATAGATGAACAAAGAGTAGTTGGAACATCTCGGAGATGGAAGCGCGCACCTTCGTGTCCAGCATGATGGCTACGTTGTCAACGCCAGGTTGCGCGTTATACTCCTTGATGAGATCGACCACTGCCCTGTGCCACTGATGCTCTCCGTGAGACATATTGAGTCGCGCCACATTCATCCCCGCATCGACCAATTGCCAGATCATTTCTCTGCTGTTACTTGTTGGCCCGATCGTGCAAACGATTTTGGTCTTCCGCTGAAAGGTGCTGGAAAGCGGCACATGTGGCCGCTTGTCCATCCCCCGCTCTGCCGCCTTCACATCGTCCATGGTCAATGACGTCACCTTTCCCTCCGCCTCTTTGGGCGCCTCTTCTTCCACCGGCTTTGTTGCCTCCATATCTGTGGCTGTCGCCTTGGTAGTGGCGCGGCGTCTCTCTCCTTTCTTCTTCGTCAGCGGCTTCTCCTCCTCCGCCGCCAATGTGCTAATTACTTTCCTTTCCTCATCATCCTGTTTACCACCACTTCCCATCATCGAAAGCTTAGTTGCCGCGGCTCGCACGACACCAATCCGTGAAAAGGAGGAAGAGGAGGAGGAGGAAGAGAGAGAAGAAGAAGACCACAGACTGTCCTCTCCTGGCCATCGCCGTGAAGAAGCAACCTTTCGCCCTCCGTCTTTCGCTCCTGCACAGAATACCATGCAGGAAGAAGACGGCTGCTGCTGCACGTACGCCCCATGCTCGTCGCGCACCAAGCGCGCGCTCACGGTCGCCGTCGACCTGTGCGCGAGGGCATCCGGCGACGCGACGCAGTTGCCACAGAAAGCTGGGGAACGATGAAAACGCCGCTGCTGAGCGGTGCAAGCTGCTGACGTGGCCACCCATGACGACCCCTGGCCACACACCGTGGCCAGATTCCGCTCTCTTAGAGATGGTGGGCTGCATTCTGTTCCCGCAGCCATAGACGGAGACAGCACGTGCATACGCCCCGCCTGCGCCGCCATGGCCGCCATATCCGCCGCCGCTGCAACGTCTCTCACAGGCTTCGGCCCTGAGCTACCAACGGTCCTCCGCCGCGCCCACTTGCGGCGATTACCGGTACGCAGTCAACCTGGTCGGTCCCCCAATGCGGCTCCACCTACAGTATACACTTTCGGGACCTTTTTTTGTCGTCACGCCGGGCATATACAATATACAGCACCAAAAGCTAAAGCGCCGCACAACTCTCTTCCTGCCTACCTAGTCGCTCACCGCGCTCCGTAGAGATCCGTCTCCGCCTGCGCTGAGGGTTAGGGTCGCAACTGGTGGACGCCGACCCGCCTCTCTCTCTCTCTCCCGCCTCTCTCTCTCTCTCTCTCTCTCTCTCTCTCTCTCTCTCTCTCTCTCTCTCTCTCTCTCTCTCTGTGTACCTGTGTGTGCGTGTGTGTGTGTGCGTCTCTCTCTCTCTCTCTCGCTCTCGCTCTCTCTGTGTACATGTGTGTGTTTGTCTGCGTGTCTGCGTGTCAGCGTGTGTATGTGTGTATGTGTGTCTGTACAGATCCATACATACGCAAGCATAGTAGTGTCCCGATCCCATCCATACATCCGCAAGTAGTGTCACTATCCCATTCATACATCCGCAAGCATAGTAGTGTCCCGATGCCATACACACATCCGAAAGCCTGGTAAATAGTGTCCCGACTGATACATCCCCAATACTAACTTCTGCGACACGAGGATATAAACTTATAACCACGCCAAAAGGGAAAGACCTGCTGTGTGAGAGGACGGGATTACCAGAAGCAAAGGTTCCAGTTTCATGGATTCTGCGTTTCAGGCCGTCGATCCCTGTAACCTACGGTCCAAAACGAAGAATCTCCGGCAAATTGAGACTTCTCCGCCAAACAGGAATCCAAGGTCGAATCAAATATCCAGTACAAATACAAAGAGAGGGAAAAAAACGGACAGAAAAAAAGCTAGAAAAGTGCACGCGCAGGCAGACGACCTTCCGAAAAGAGGAAGACTGGTCCAAAGACGGGGGGCAAACAACAAAAGAAAGCCAAAGCCTACGTGGCGGCGCAAGATGCCTCCTGTAGATGAACCACGGAAGAGGCAGGTCGCCCCGCCCTCGCGAGCCCTGAAAGTTCACGGTACTTGCTTTGCTGTTGCACTCGTGGATATCTCAACCGCCTGAACTGCTCCCACTGGCTCGCACTTCTCACTACTGGCCGTCGATTCTGTCTGAAGATCGGCGGCCAGATATGAAAAAGGATTTGGATCGTGGTTGCTCTTCGGGCTGCATGGGGGTTGAGGGTGGGCCTGAAATAATATGCCTTAGGACTGCATGGGGGTTGATAGCCCGCAACATGACCTTGGGCATGAATATTTGATGCCCGCAACATGGCCTTGGCTGCATGGGGGTTGAGGGCATGGGGGTTGAGGGCATGGGGGTTGAGGGCGGCCCACCCTCAACCCCCGCACGGCCGATGGCTGCGGACGTATAGCAGCGGTTTTCATTAGCAGCCCTAAAGGATCGTCTATTTTCGGGTTCGGGCGAGGGCGCCAAGGCAGGTTTAGAGGGGTAGTGAACGACTTAGGACCCGTAGCTGTTGGATTTGTATCGTGGTTGTTCTTCGGGCTGCATGGGGGTTGAGGGTGGGCCTGAAATAATATGCCACTGATAGCCCGCAACATGACCTTGGGCATGAATATTTGATGGCCGCAACATGGCCTTGGGCATGAATATTTGATATTTCGTTTTCTTTCCCACTCTGCCTCCTCATCCCAAGAATCTTCTGCACTTTATCCATAGTAGGAGTCTCAGCAGTCCCTGCGTCTCCAGCTTCATCCTCGTTAGATGAGTACTCTTTTCTTCTCCAATCTCCATCATCTTTTGCGTTCCCATTCTCATCATCATCATCATCTTTCACATTCTCATTCTCTTTTATTGTCCCCTCTCCCCGTCTTCCTCCCTCCCGCCCTACCTCGATATCTCGCTTTCTGCTCATCTCCACTGAGTCATGGACTTCTCGTCTTCCTCGTTCCTGCCCACTACCCCCATATCTCTCCTCCTACTTTTTTCACAAAGTCGTGGCCTTTCCTTCCTCCCCTTCTCTCTCTCTCTCTCTCTCTCTCTCTCTCTCTCTCTCTCTCTCTCTCTCTCTCTCTCTCTCTCTCTCTCTCTCTCTCGTGGTTGTGCTATGTCATGAGACTGTTGTATTCAACATGAGCAAATGTTGGACATAGTTGGGTAAATGTTTGTCATTGCTTTGTGACTCTATCCCACGTTATCTTATATCTCGCAAATTGCTACACTTCTGTTTTCCTCATGCAAATGAAGTATATTAAATGAATGGATGAAAATCGAGGTCACAATACTATGGTTGTCGACTTTGAATAACCTGTGTACATAATTGTATGAGGCTATAGGTAAATATCAGTTATGCTTGTGTTACGATTTAACCCCCATACGTCATCTTATATTTGACATTTTTTTTCTCGTTAGTCTTTTTTCAATGTCATCATATATCTTACAATCGCTATATATTGCATTTTCCATTATAAGAGGATAATAAAGATTGTTGGTTAGAGATACCAACTATCGTTTTAACCCCCCAAAAACATACATATGTGGTATACGAATATAACATAGTCCGTTTATAAAATAAGTTTTAGGGTACCGTTGTCGGGGCAAATACCCTGACAAGGGTATTTGCTGGGGATTTTCAACATCGGACGTTGTTCAACTCTTTTGTTGAATTGAAGGACTTGACGAGACTAACGTTTGTCGAAAGTTCATTCAAACTAACCGATGACCGAGAGATTGAAACTTTTATAAACTTTAGTTCAGACGTTTGCGTCGTCTGAAGGTAATGAAAACAGCCCGCAATTTATAGCAGGGCCGCAGAAAGGCACGAGCGTGGATATGTCAGGGCTAGATTTACCCTACCTAAAAAAATGACGCACAACTGCTAAGCTGCGTGATTCAGGACCTAGGTAGGCTGGAAAGAGGTGGCCACGCCAGTTATGTGACCACGGCGTGAGAGAAAGTGGAAGGATTTTTTTTTAGTCGTGGGGCCGTCGCATACGCGACTAGGGCTGGGGCAGGACGTCCGCCGATTCGACGGCGACGCGGCTAGAGGTGAGGCAGGCCGAGCCTGCCTTAGCTATGGCAGGTGGGCCTACAGGGAGGCAACTCTTCTTATAGAAGAGCTGCGGGCTTAGCTCCCGTGATAGGAGCTAGCCCAGTAGGTACCGCCATCTGACTTTCAACCTGCAGATTCGGGGATCAAGCCCAGCCCCACGCATCCCACTGGGCCAGCTCCTTTCGGAGCAGCCCAAGTAGCTAGGCGCGACCGATCTCGGTCGCGCGATCATCAAGATCGCGTGGCTGAGATCTGTCGCACGCAGATCAGCATGGCCCTGCGCTTTCAAGGATGACACGCCTAAATCGAGAAAAGGTCAAAAACGTTTTTTGATCCCGGTAGGGATCGAACTCGGGTCTGTATTTCAACAGTTCGTGGGCATGCCACGATGGGACATGACCGATGGCAAACCCAACGGGAAAAATCATTTTTCATCATCATCATCTTTTTCTTCTCCTGCTCCTTCTTTGTCTTTTTCTTCACGTGTCGCACAAACGTCCACCATATTCCACCTTCGTTTTTTTTTTTTTTTTTTTTTTTTTTATAAGGGGTTGAAAGGGGGGTCAGGGGGGGTTGCGTTTGGTGTTTGTTGGCGAGTGCTCCCACACATTGTTGTTTAATGGCGGACGGTGGCAGTGGCGTTGCAGCAGGCGGTGGCAGTGGCGGATCCGAAAGGAGGAGACCTTCTTCAGGATCGACGGACAAAGGAAAGCCTCGGTTCAGTGCTAGTACTAGTGCTCCCATATCTGGGTTAACTCCAAAGGAACCCACGCCGGTGTCAAACCCCTCTTTGTTCGTTCATCAGGATGAAACGAGGCAACAACAACTGCAGCGCGCCCGGGAGGTGTGAAAATATATCATACAGGGTTAAAAAGCCCTGCCGAAGGGTCGAGGAGAGTATTGGGTGAAGTGTCGGCTATGCACGCAAATTTGGAGGGGCATGAGCACAAGGGCGATGAAACATTTTTTGAAGTTGTTGAAGTCATGTCCCTTGAGAGCAGGGGAGATAGTACACAAGCTCGTGGTCGCCGGTGCGAAGGTGTTGTCGACCGACAAAAAAATGAGGTACCTCCTAAGGAACTATAGGCAGTTGCATGACATTCCGGAAGGGGAGCGACTGCTACGGAGACTCAGGAGGTGGAGCCGCTCGTTTACGGGTACGAGGAGCCACAACCACCAACTACTGCGAGAATGACACTAAAAAAAACAGCTTCGCGAACAGAGTCGGTCGCCACTGCAGATAAGGGTTTTGCGGAAGGTTTAGGGTCAAACACGAGGGCGACATCATTACAGCAAACATCAATCAAGAGATGAGTGGACAACGCTGCATAAAAGAAGTTGGATATTGCGTGGGTGGAGGCGATGTTCTGTGCTGGTATTGCGTTCAACTTCATGAATTTTGATACGACGCAAAATCTTCACGAAGTTTACTTGGAAGTGGCGAATGCACGACCAAAGGTCAAACTGCCCTCGTACAAGCATATGAGAACTGTGATGCTTGACTTCATCTACTTGCGTATTTAAAAACAAGTGCATCCTATGACAGTCTATTGGGAAGAATATGGTTGTACATTCATCATGGACGGGTCATCCGACCGTCGAGAGCGCCCTGTCATAAACTTTTTGGCAGCGGGGGAGAAAAATGCAGTTCTGGTGGTCAGAGTTTCAATGACCGCAAGGAAGAAAACAGCGCAGGCGTTGGGAAAGTTATGGGAGCAGATCATGAGGGGGATAGGGGTGCATCGCATCAACGCGATATGCACTGACAATGCCGAGGTGAACAAGAAGGTTGCTCATTCACAGATTCTGGAGCGCTGGACTGACAAAGGCATTCCAAGGATTTCATGCGTTGTGCATTGTTGCAGCCTTTTCCTGCGAGACATCAGCAAGTTAGACTGGGTGAAGAACACTATTAAGAGAGGCCACACGATTGTGAAGTTCATCTGAAACCACCACTTCACGAATAGCCTGATGATGTCCATTGACGATTCCCTGATATTGCTTCGTCCCACGGAAGTTCGATTTGGTTCAGTGTACATGATGTTGAAGAGGCTTCATAATAGGAGGGCAATGTTGTCGGATATAATGAATCGAAAAAATGCAGCACGGTGGATGGAGATGCGTTGGTCCACTGCAAAGTTGAAGTCGAAAGCGGACATGGTGTACTTCACCTTGAGGAGAGACGGCTGGTGGACAGAGTTGAAGAAGGTGGTCGATGTGATGGAACCGTTGTACAGCCTTCTGAGGAGGATGGATCGGGATGAAGCATCGCCAACAAACCTTGTCGAATAGGACGACCTAATTGAAAGGAAACTGGCTCACGTGGTTCTCACTGAGGAGCAGCGAGCGAGCGTTATGAACAAAGCCATAGATCGTGTGAAGATGATGCAGAAGTCAGTTCATGCACTGACGTTTCTTCTAGACCCGCGCAGGATAAATCCATGGTGGCCTTGTGGTCGGGATGGTGTAATTGTACAAAATGGGATGCGTTACCTGCAGAGACAGGTTGGAGGTGCTCGAAAAGGGTCAGACTACCTTGAGGTTTTGGATGACCTGCATGAGTTTCACACATCGCCTACGCCGAACGGGCCCAAGAGAAAGGACAAGAAGATGTGGGAGCCCAATGCGAAGGCTGATTGCGAGAAACTCACACCGTCAGAGTGGTGGGCGACTTATGGTGGCGATGTCCCCTGCAGGCCATTGCCATCAAAGTGATGGGCATGTGGAGTACCGCAACCCCGGCTTAGAGGAATTGGCCATCCATGGACTTCGTGCATTCCAAAAGGAGGAACAACTTGAAGCCCGAAACATTGGAGAAGTTTGTGTACATCCATTGGAACATGCAACTGCTGCATGTTGCCAAAAACATCGGTGCAAACGACGAGGGCTATGTTGATCTGTGGAGTTCATTCTTCGAGGCTATTCCGGAGCCAGACGAGAACGATGGATCTATCTTGAAGGGCCTCGGGGACGAAGCTGAGAAGGCGGATGAGGAGATGGTACGGCAAAGTAGCTTCGTAAAGATACCGAAGCAAAGGATTCTGAAGAAGCTCGAGGACGAAGAGGACGAGTGCACCGATGACAGTGACTTGGATGATGAGCTGTGGAAGGGGAAGTGTGGATTGTCGGATGAGACGAGCAGCGCGGAGGAGGAGGAGGAACGTGATTCCGATTTTGAGTTGCGAGCTCAGCCATCAGTTTTGGGCAGTACTTATGTAGGTAGGCGAGAAGCTGCAGGGTCCGGAGAGAGAAGCAGTCCGTGGTCTTTACACAGGTCAGATGGGAAAGTTTCTCCCAATACCATCCTCAGTTTGACGTTGAGTTCCATCACGTGGACACGGATATCGAGTTGTTGTTGCAAAGTGCTCCGGTTGATGAAGATGAGGCGGAGGCCGACCATGCAAAGGTATTAGCAGATCTCGATAGAGATGTCATCCAAAAATGGATCATGGAAGAGGATGCCCGGTATGCAGCAATCCCAACCCAAAGAGAGATTGAGAGATGCAAGAAGAAGGTTGGGGAGAAGGAACCGGAGACACGTCAGCCATTGGACGTTGTGCAAGAGCGAGAAGAGGGGGAGCAATAGCAAAGTGAAGCGGTTTTAAAGGTGGAAGAAGTCGCACTCCAAGAAGAGGGGGACGACAGGGTGCAACCAAAAGAGGCGGAGGAGGCAGACTTGCAAGAGGTGGAGCACCACAAAGAGGCGGAAGAGAAGGACCAACAAGAAGACAAGGACGATATGGAGCAACAACAAGATGAGGAGATGGAGCACGAAAAAGAGGACGAGGAGGTGGAGCATGAAGAGGACGAGTAGGGGATGAAGAGTCTAGGAGAGGAGGAGGCCATGGAACAACAAGAAAACGGGGCGGGCATGGATCAATAGTATATGCAGCACAATGTGGATGAGGAGGACGACGAAGAGGAGCACCAGCCTGCAGTGAAGACTATGTACACACATAGGTAACGACCGGTTGTGTCAGCACAGTCTATCGAGAACACACCCGACTTCCCTCCCAGCAATGAGGTTGTCCAACATGATAACCTGTGGGTGAGCAGGGTGGGGAGGAAAAGAAAGGAACCGGTGAAGGATGCTACTGCGAAGCCTAAACGTGCTCGTGGCAGGCCCCACAAGCCAAAGACCGCTGAACCCGATGCCAAAAAAAAAAAAAGATTCGCCTCCTCAAGGCTTGCGCCGAGGTTGTGGAGGATGACCCCGATTCAGATAACTGCAATAGACGATCATCTGAATTCGAGGGAAGCCACTCCGATCGCGAATGAGGTCGCCATGTGTGTGTGTG